CGAAGAATCTCACAAACCATATCTTCATTTCCTTAGTGGTCCTACCAAAGATGGAATATGGATCAAACTACACTTTGGAAATGTTATAACACAAAATTCACGCAGCCTTGCCTTTGAGGAAAACTGAACACAAGGGGCCAAAGTGGAGAACTAAAGGCTGAAACAACGAAAGGGCCCTGGCTTCTCTATTCTTTTCACACAATCTTATCCATTCCAACAAAAGATCTCTAAAATAGATACATTATCACTATCAAATATGTTGTCGATCCACGAGCAGTGATGGATTCAGGGGACAAAAATTAAGTAGCAATTTTTAATTTTATTTTTTGAAACACTCTATAGGAATAAGGAAAATATAACAAATATATTACTACAATTGTTCTTGGTGCGTTTTCATAAAAATCTTTTCATCCTTAACAATTTTGTCAAATATAGCCTTCTCAATATATTCAACTAAGTTATTGTTCAACAATAAGAACTTTTAAATATCTCTCCATAACGGTTGATAATAAATTTAATAATACATAAATTCTCAATAGCTAATTCTAATTAGTACTCTATTAATTTCTCAGCCACCCTAGTCGGGTGGGCGCTGGCCGATCTTTTGACCTCCGTCCAAAAGCCATCTCTAAGTGCAAAGTACCTTTTTCTATTTATCGACATCAAATGGATTCGATCTTATACATTCAAGAGGAAGGTAATCAATAAAGAAAGAAGATAAAGTAGAGGGTATCCTATGACATCAATTACAAACTTGCATCCCAAAACACAAGGCAATTAAATAGTTATTGATATCAAATATACGGGTATCGACCAAATCTTGAACTTGTGTCCCAAAACACAAGGCAATCAAATAGCCGTACAGCACGAATCATACTAAGCCATATTTTAAATCGTTTAAATTATACATTACTTCGACGTAGTGCATTTTTGTTACAACTATACTACACTACCAGACCTTTTTGCAGCCCCTCTCACAGTTCAAGGTAGGGGTGGGTTTTTGGGGGGTATTTTTTTTAATCATGGGACCCTCAGAGGTGAGAGAAAATGGGAGAGGAGCTCCTCTACCAGGCTTTTTACAGATCTGGTAGAGGAGCATTACTCTTTTTGTTATAGTATTGAGATAGCAAAAGGAATTTCATGAATATAATTTAAATTTTCAAAGGCGGAAATAAGAACTCCAATCCTTCCAATAATGCTATTATTCAAACTGTTACACCCCTAACTAAATCATGTCGGAACAACAGTCACACCACTCCCACGTGTCCATCCCCCAGCTAAACCACTTTTGAACAAACAGTCACGCAACTCCCCGAAGTTCTACATGTTTACCCGAAGTGGTTCCGAAGTGATGCTCACTCCTGACAACCTCAACATGGCGTGCTGCAAGGCGAAGAGTAGATCCACTGAAGCAACCGAAGTGTCCCTCAACTCCGAAGCGTTGAGCACTCCGAGACACTCCCTTAACAGATCCCTCCGTCGCCACTGTTACAAAGATATCTATTAGGATCCCCTCTGCCTCCAAAGATCAATTGATGTGACGTCTCCATATATCTAGTTGATGTGACTTATCAACTTTATGTCAACCCAACTCAGAAAAACTAATTGCCTGCCCACTCTAGACGGGGCTAATTGACGTCTATGAGTGGACGCCTCACACCATCAGATGCATACACGTGTCCCTTATCCAGCGGTGCTCTATCTCTCTAAATACCCAAGGTTTGATAAGAGACAAAGGTAATGAAACTCTTATAACTTAGCTCTCTATACTAAGAAATATATATTCTCTTCCCCACTCTCTTGCATAACTTGAGCATTGTTCCGATCACCCAACGCTGACTTGACCTTCGGAGTGTATGCGGTCGCCATCACTGTCGCTGGTTCCGGCCATGTGCTTCTGACTGTGCGTTGTTGTGCGCAAGGAGGATTACGTGGAGTAGCTATCCGTTGGCCACGTGAAGGGTTCAATTCTTGAGGTCAACAGATTGGCGACGTCTGTGAGAAGCTTTCCGTCCAAAAGTTCCACATTATCAAACGGACAAACCATCGACTTACCCTGAAAAGGGCAAGTTCTTGAAAAATAACAAGGTCAACGTGCAAAGTTCTTAACACCCTTGAAAGGATAAACAAAATGAGTTATAGTAATGAAGATGCAAATTTTGAAGGGCATAGGGATGCCTCTGAAGAAGAGGTAATCAGGACCAATGTCACGCATCGGAGACCCCATCATCGGCATCACCGAGGCAACAGGACAACAGTGCTCAATGAAGAAATGGCTTAAATAGCTGTCGGAATGAGAGACATTGTCGCTCAGAATGTGGTGATGCGTGAATTTTTCATGCAGGTCCGAGGTCATCAGGGCTTCCAGATGCCTCAAGAATCATATCCAGCTCAAGAAATTACTGCGACTCATGGCCAAGGCCATTCGAGCCAACACTGGGAACACCTCCTCGAAAGAGAAGTGGGTGTGGATGTGACAACTTACGCGTAGGGAAGCCAACCAGCAGAACCACCACTAGGAAAGAACTTCCCACCAGAATACGAACCCCAAAAGTCTGTCAACGTCTTCGACAAAATAGGGCAGAACCCTAGCAATATGGTCCGCTCCGTACAAAGATCAGTCCGACAAGAGCAGGAGCAACAAGTACCTCCTCCGCCTAGAAATAGGTGGGAAAGGAGAGACCTAGTGGATCTGGGTAGTCGAGAAGAGGCACCTCCACCTCCCCAAAATGCATCAGAGTGGGAAGGCTCTGAAGGGCCATGCCGCTTGATAAGTGTGTTTTTGTACACTTATTTACATCACAAACATGACTTAAATACAAGTAAAATGATTGAATTGTTACTTAATTTTGTCGAATTCATGCAATGTAGGTGATTCTATGAAAATAGTGGAATTCAGGAGAAAAGAGCCGAAAAAGGACCAAATTGGAGCAGAATGAAAATTCAGGGACCAAGTTGCAATTATCTGAAAGTTGATCCGATGAACACATCAAGCAATTGATCAAGCTAAGCACCAATTGGAAGTTATAATAGAATATTGGAGCAACTAGAAACAAGAAAGGAGGTCAAGGAGTGAATGAATGAAATTTGAGGATCAAAAGGACTCAATTTAGAAGTTCACTCTACTATGCGGTCGCATAGTAGAAAATCTATGCAGTCGTGAGTAACCCTCCAGGGATTAAAAACGCCAAAATCCATATACCTATGCGGTCGCATAGGTATAATCTGTGCCCGATTTTTGCAATTTCCTTATATGATTGCAACTCCTTTGGTAACCTAATTTGGACGGGTTTAAATAGCAAAAAATGTCCAGATGCCGAGCAACGAATTGGGAGGCAAAAACATTCATTTTGGAGACGATTTGAAGGCAAGAACAAGGATTGATGCGAATATTTACAAGATTTCTTCAAGTTTTGATAACCCGATGATGTATTTTATTCAAAACTTGATAGATTTCGTTATTTTTATCATGATAGGCTAGATTTCTATAACTAGGTGATCGATGAACCATGTAATTATTATTAAACCTGTTATTTCATGACTTTGAATTCATAGTTCGATGGGATCATTTGAATGAATTATATTGATTTATTTATTTCCACAATTAATGTGCACTTAATTTGTGTGAATTTGGTGGTTTAATTAAACTTAACATATATAATTCATCATAGGGTCTGATAGGGGATAGAAATATACCCCTATGCCCTATGTGAATCTTTAATTGCTCACAAAAAATTACATGCGTTCTTATATAATTGCATCCGTCATAGAAATATAGGCTGGTAATTTATGAGAATAGGTTCAATACATCTCGAGAGAGAGTATTGAATAGATTTAGGAGCATTGATTTGTCAAATTCTCATTGGATTATCAAAATTGAGAAATTAGGGTTTACTTAATAATTATTTGGGGATTCGTGATCCTAGTGCATTTGTTTTACATAGATTTTCATAAATTGACAATACATTTCAGTTATTTTCATAACATTTTCGTAATTGAGTCATTCTTTAAGTGAATTTGAGTAATTAGGGTTTAATTTAAAATTAGGGTTCTTCAATTTGGGGATTTCTCCCAAAATTAGGGCTTTTAATTCTAAAATTCATTTTAAGTTAATTAGTTTCGGTTAAGACTAAATTAAATAAAATTGAACTACTCTTTCTCTGTGGGACGATACTCGGACTTCTAAAGTCCACTTTATTACTTGTCACGACCTGTACACTTGCGGTAATTTAAATCGAAAGAAATATTTTGTGAACAAATTTTTGGCGTCGTTGCTGGATGATTGAGTTTAGTTTAATTTTATTTCTTGAAACACTAATTCGAACTCAAATTTTATTTTACTAGCATAATTTTGTTTTTATTTTTATTTTTATTTTAGGTTATTATCCTCTATTTGTGTTTTAGTTAATTAAATTGTTTGAATCTCAGTGCTCGTACTGGTTTTAATTCTCAGATTTGCATATCACGATTGCCTGGAGGAGAATTGATTCCAACTGATCCTGAAATTGAGCGCACCTTTCATCGACGACAAAGAGATCACTGCGAAGCACAAGTACAAATGGCTAACGAATTAAACAATCCCATGATTCATGCTAACGAAGGAGAGGCAATGGACGAGGGGAATGAGATTCTGGGGGATTTCTTGACTCTTCAAGTGATTCAAAGCCAGTCCAGCATAGTGTATTCACCGTTTGGGCAACCTAATTTTCAGTTGAAGACCAATGTGATACAGCTATTTCAAAATGGACACCAATTTTATGGCAAGGCTGAGGAGAACCCACACACACACGTATCTCGATTTCTGGATATGTGTCAACATTTCAGATACCAAGGGATTTCGGATGACGCTATTAGGTTGAGGCTTTTTCCACATACGTTAAGAGACAGAGCACTTGAATGATTGGATTCACTCCCGGTTGCAAGTATCACTACATGGAATGAGTTGGCACACAAGTTCTGCACAAAGTTCTTCTCCCCAGTCAAGATAGCAAAGTTGAGACATGATAAATCAGTATTCAATCAAGGAGAGACTGAATCATTTGATGAAGCCTGGAACAGATTTAAAAACATGCTCCGGAAATGCCCTCAGCATGGGTTCGATAAAAAGACCCAGATTCGATTCTTCTACACAGAATTACTTTCATACCATAAGAGCATGGTAGATTCAGCATCAGATGGCTCAATATCCACAAGAACAGTTGACGGGGCATTGGAATTATTTGAGCGAATGGCTACCACATCAGCCATGTGGTCTTCTGACAGGGCGATTCCAAAGAAAACTCCACGTGTCTACGAGGTGGACGCTTTTTCAGCAATATCTACAAAAATTGGTTCTCTGTATCACAAGGTGGAAAGCATATCACAAGCATCACAAGCTAAGAAGAGCAATTGTGAGGAATGTGGAGCCGAGCACAAAACATTAGATTGCCCAATACTCATGCAAGGAATTGAGCAAGCAGATTACGCACAGTGGGGACAACGCCAGCAGCATAATCAATATGGCGAGACTTTCAATCCTAGCTAGAAGAAACATCCCAACTTCTCTTGGAGCAACCAGAATCAGAATAAGCCACAGGGGCAATTTCAACAATAGGAGAAGAGGCCTCAATTGGAAGATATGATAGGAAAATTCATGGAGAAGGCCGAAGCTGCACTTCAAAATCAAAATGCAGCCATCAAAAATTTGGAAACTCAGATTGGATAGCTAGCCATCGCATTGACTGTCAAAATGCCAGGTAACTTACCAAGTAATACAGAAATCAATCCTAAAGAGCAAGCCAAGGCCATTACAACTCAAAGTGGAGTGCAATTACCTGAAATCCATGTCAAGAGACCGGGGGTGATTGGAGAAACATCTTCCTCCGCTGAAGAAGAGACTGTTGTAAAGGAATCAAGTTCAAAGGAAAATTCAGAAGAATCACAAGATAAGGCCAAAGTCACAGTCAACCCCTACGAACCTCTGATTCCCTTTCCACAGCGCTTGAAGAAGCAAAAAGTGGAGCAACGATACAAAAAATTTCTAGAAATCTTCAAAAAACTCAATATCAACATCCTACTAGCTGATGCACTATTCCATATGCCTAGCTATGCGAAATTTTTGAAGGATATCATATCAAATAAACGCAAGCTGGAAGATCATGAGACAGTTATGCTTACTAAGGAATGTAGTGCCAGAATTCAGAATAAGCTTCCACCAAAACTAAAAGATCCAGGGAGTTTTACTATTCCTTGCACAATCGGTGAAGTGTATTTTGATAAAGTATTATGTGACCTCAGTGCAAGTATTAATTTAATGCCTTTTTCTGTTTTCAGGAAACTAGGATTGGGAGAAGCTAAAGCAACCATTGTGACACTTCAGCTGGCTGACAGGTCACTGACACATCCCAGAGGAATAATTGAAGATGTGCTTATCAAGGTTGAGAAGTTCATATTCCCAGCGGACTTTCTTATCCTGGACATGGAAGAGGATAAGGACGTTCCATTGATATTTAGCAGACCATTTCTGGCAATAGGGAGAGCGTTAATTGATGTTCAAAGAGGTCGGTTGATTTTAAGATTGGGAGAGGAGCAGATATCATTCAATGTATTCAAGGCAATAAAATTACCAGCAGAATTTGACAGCTGTTATCAAGTTGACATTATTGACAAGGCAGTACAAGAAACATTCTTACTACACGGTCCATCTGATGCCTATGAGGCATGTATTGCACAATCCCAATCAATCTAGTCACAGTCTTTTGAAGTTGAAACATGTGCAAGATTTTTGGAGACCAACCCGCCGTACACAAGAAAGAAACACTTCGAGGAACTAGGGACAAGAAATAAAAAGCCACTACCTTCCATTCAGCGGCCACCAGTTTTAGAACTCAAACAACTATCGCCACATCTCAAATATGCTTATTTAGGAGAGTCAGATACACATCCAGTAATCATTTCGAACACAGTCAGTGAGATGGAGGAGGAAAAACTGCTCAGGGTACTTAGAGAGAACAAGACGGCGATTGGTTGGATAATAGTTGACATTAAAGGAATCAGTCCTTCCCTGTGCATGCATAAAATTTTAATGGAGGAAAATTGCAAGCCTAGCATAGAAAGTCAGAGAAGATTGAACCCAAACATGAAGGAAGTGGTCAGGGCTGAGATACTGAAGTTATTGGATGCAAGAATTATCTACCCAATTTCGGATAGTGCATGGATCAGCCCTGTTCAAGTGGTATCGAAAAAAGGGAGAATCACAGTGGTGAAAAATGAGAAGAATGAACTAATTCCCACCAGAACAGTTACGGGTTGGAGAGTTTGCATTGACTATCGCAAACTCAATGCAGCTACACGAAAGGATCACTTCCCACTCCCATTCATTGATCAGATGTTGGAGAGGTTGGCTGGACATTCACACTACTACTTTCTTGATGGATACTCGGGCTATAATCAGATACCTGTCGCACCAGAGGATCAGGAGAAGAAATTGGGAAAAAGGCCACTTTATGGTGCAGGAAGGCATTGTACTTGGGCATAGGATATCGGCAAAAGGAATTGAGGTAGACAAGGCAAAAATTCAAGTGATTGAGAAATTACCACCACCTACATCAGTTAAAGGAGTTCGCAATTTTTTGGGGCACGCTGGGTTCTACCGGAGGTTTATAAAAGAGTTCTCGAAGATCACTAAACCTTTGTGCAATTTGCTAATGAAAGATGTAACCTTTGAGTTCAATGAGAATTATCTCACAGCCTTCAACACTTTAAAGGAAAAGCTTATGACAACACCAGTAATTGTAGCATCGGACTGGGAATTGCCTTTTGAATTGATGTGTGATGCAAGTGATCACGTTGTAGGTACAGTATTGGGATAACGGAGGAACAAGATTTTTCATGTGATCTACTATGCAAGCAGTACTCTAAATGATGCACAAATAAATTATGCAACCACTGAAAAGGAGCTATTGGCTGTGGTATTTGCATTCGACAAATTCAGGTCATACCTCGTCGGGTCTAAAGTCATCGTCTATACTGATCATGTTGCATTGAAGTATCTGCTCACAAAGAAGGATGCAAAGTCGAGATTAATTCGTTGGGTGCTGTTGTTGCAAGAATTTGACATTGAGATACGCAACAAGAAGGGCACCGAGAACGTAGTAGCAGATCGCCTATCCAAACTAGAACCTGGGGAAACGGAAGATTTAGTGGATATAAATGAGATCTTCCCGAATGAACAGATGTTGAGAGTAGATGAAGCACCTTGGTACGCAGATATTGTCAATTACTTAGCCAGTTCCATTCCACCGCCTGACTGCTCCAGTCACCAAAGAAAAAAATTCTTCGCCGAGTTAAAATACTATTTCTGGGAGGATCCAATTCTCTATAGACGAGGAGCTGATCAGATAGAGAGGAGGTGCGTACCTGAAGAAGAAGTACATGAGATTCTCGAGCACTGTCACTCATCCGCATATGCAGGACACTTTGGAGCTTCAAAAACAGCTGCAAAGATTCTACAATCAGGTTTCTACTGGCCTACACTGTTTAAAGACACATTTGAGTTTGTTAAGAGGTGTGACAGATGTCAACGCACTGGGAATATATCGAGGAGAAATTAAATGCCACTAAACAATATTTTGGAAGTGGAGATATTTGATATTTGGGGAATTGACTTCATGGGACCTTTCTTCCCTTCGTTCTCAAACCAGTATATCTTGGTGGCAGTGGATTACGTCTTAAAATGGTGGAAGCAATTGCATTGCCAACAAATGACTCAAAGACAATAATTGGATTCTTGAAGAAATATATTTTCACCCGATATGGTACACCGCAGGCTATAATCAGCGATGGGGGCAAGCATTTCTGTAATCGCCAGTTTGAGCAGCTGCTGAATAAATATGGCGTTAAACACCGCGTTGCTACTCCATATCATCCACAAATCAGCTGGCAAGTTGAGGTATCTAATCGGCAGTTGAAGAGAATACTAGAAGTCACTGTGAATTCATCTAGAAAGGATTGGTCTAAAAAGTTGGACGATGCATTATAGGCTTACAGAATAGCATTCAAGACCCCGATCGGCATGTCTCCATACCGCCTAGTCTTTGGGAAAGCATGCCATCTGCCTTTAGAAATGGAGCACCGGGCATATTGGGCTATGAAACAGTTAAATATGGACTTGAATGCCGTCGGTGAAAAGCGTCTATTGCAACTGAATGAGTTGGATGAATTTAGAATGGAGGCTTATGAAAATGCAAAACTTTACAAGGAGCGAACCAAGAAGTGGCATGATATGCACATTCAGAGGCGAGTATTCGAAGTGGGGCAGCAAGTACTACTGTATAACTCGAGACTCAAGCTATTCCTAGGAAGTCGAGCTATTGACTATAACTTAGCGCTGGGTGGGAGGCAACCCACTGTATCATTTTTATCTATTTATTTACTTTATTATGCTTTCTGCATTAGATTAGGAAGTTTATTTTCAAATTCATTTAGTATTTTGTTATGTGGTCATCGATCATCTAGGCATGTTAAAAGAGTCCAAGCACTGTTCACACGAGTCCTTAAGTATCACACACGAGTTCGGGTTGATTTGAGTTGTTTGGGTAGTTGAGTGTGGAATTCACGTATTTCGAGGCAAATTATGTTTTCTAAATTTCACATGTCAATGTTTTAAAAGTATGTCTTTGAAAAATTGGGGATGTTGAGAGCCGGGTCATTTATTAAAAAAAAAATTTGACAAAAATCGGATTTTTTTGGGGAAAGTAGCATTGTTTTATTTTATTTTAATTCTTTTGAAAAAAAAAGGTGTCTATGCGATCGCATAGACATGGTGTCTATGCGGTCGCATAGACACCAACCGAACGAAAAGGTTAAAAAAAAATTATAACTATGCGACCGCATAGCTTTTAACTATGCGGCCGCATGGAATAAACAAGAAAAACCCACGCCCGGATCATTTTATTGTGATTTCCAAATCACTTTCTTCCCAACTCCTCTCTCGCCCAAATTTCTTTTGGATACGATTTCTACACATAATTGCATTTCACTCACCTACACTACACAAGAATCTCGAGGTTGGAATTGCACTATCATCAAAAGGAAATCAACTTTCCGTCTCCATTCAACCCCTACAATTCCAAGGTATGTGTTCTAGGTTTATTCTTGAGTGAAGTTTCAATTTTGAGGATTCGAGGGACAATGGGTTATTTCTTGTACGTTTGGATTTGAGGTGCTTGTGTTGTGCAAAAATTTGGAATGATTCTAAAACTAAATTCTTTCAATTGGCACCAATTTTACAGTATGCATGCAATGTGTTTGATAAAATGCCACAATGATTAATCTATGTTTAATTATGCTTCTTGCATTGTCTGTGATGTGTGGAGGACTTAAATTACATAATTGGTTGCATTCCTATGGACATTAATTTGAAAAGCACATATCCTATAGTCCTAGATGCTATATGGTTTAATGTGTGTCGTTTTAGGCATGACTTAATCTCCAATTGTTGAAATTTTGGAGATTCCATACAATGACATACAACTTGCTTGATCTATTGTCAAGGTTAAATGAGCCACTCATATTAGTGAGTTTGGGCTTAGCATACACACGAATTGGACATTTCAAACACTAAAATTGCCTATGACTACACACATGATTAAGACACTGCCCACAGCACCCTCCGTCCCTTATTCTACACTACCATTTGACACACCAAACGAACTCCGATTGAGCTGAAATTTGGGTATGTGCTAGACCTCATTGCATACTTTCATATGCCCAGAGGTTGCCCAGGACAATCTTGATAATTCTCGATGGTGCCCGAGGCCGAAGGTGTACACTCAATCATGACTCCAACCCTTTCACTATGAGCATATTCACCCAAATTTTGTTAGTTTTCGTATGGGCTATACATTTATACTATTCTAATCATCATACGTTGTTCATTACACACCGTGGTAGTATACATGCATATTGAAACAAGTTTGGGGGATTTGTGAATTACGTGCTTTTCATTTCATGCGATTTCTCGCTGTACAACAAGACGTTTAATGCTAGTTATTTTCCAACTTTGCAGGATGCCACCAAAACGAACTTCAAAAGGGAAAGAAAAGGTTGGCTCATCATCCGGCACAGCACGTACTCGAGTGCTTGAAGGAGGGATGCAGAGATTTTTGACTTCCGAGGCAGCAGCCCGATATGAAAATATAGTGAGTCGATGGACAGTGACACTAGAGCGGGCTGTTAAATTGGAAGACTTTCCTGATTTCGAGCTGACCACTTTGGTGCATAACTGTGGATGGGGTAAAGTAGTGGAGCAGCCACATTGGATTTACGAATTGTTGGTAGGGGAATTTTACGCCAACTTCAATACAGAAATTGACACACCAGGGTCCGACCACCTGCATCAAACTTGGGTCAGGGGAAAATGGATCACATTCTCACCCGAGGTTATTCAAGACTACTACCATCTCACGTGGGACGACATAACCCCTATACCGGGTGATTTCAATTGGCATGAAGTGGCAGAGATCTTATTGGGGCGACAAAATGCATGGCCACTCCCCACCACCGAGTGGCACCAGATTGAGCTGACACCATCTATAGCCATCCTGTGGCTGTTTATGTGCCACAACATTGAGCCGACCTCTCACAGGACCACATTCACAGATCCCACAGCTGGATTCCTTTATCACTTGGTGTGAGGTAATAAGGTTGATCTTGCCACTCTCTGCTATAATCAGATCCATCATGTGGGTACCTTGGGAGACAGGCACAGCTCAATGATCTTTCCAAGCCTCATCTCCGGAATATGCATAGCTGCTGGTATAAACATTGCATCCGGGGAAGTGGCTGCTAAACCCAGCCCCATCATAAAGCACAGTACCTTGAAGGCTCAAGACAGAGCCAGGATAAAGCACTGGGAAAAGCAAGAAATTGAACGGCGCAAATAGCAGGAAGAGCAAGGTCACAAGCACGCAGAGTAAGAGATGCCTCAAGCTCCACCACCACAGGTTGAGATAAATGTACAGTTGTGGCGCCAGATTTTTCACCACCACCACGGGAACCAGCCGAGACGTACAGAGTCTCCAGGAAGCTATGGGGAGTTTGACGACTGAGATGCATACAGCCCACCGTGACATCCGGTTTTCCACTGATATGTCACGTGCTGCTCGCCAGGATGCCCATGCAGCTAGGAGGGAGATGGAAATTATGAACGGTCGACTCAGTGTGTATGTAGGCAGGGTGGATGGCATCCAGATGAGGGTAAATGAAACTTGGGAGCGTCTGGACCGTTTGGAAACACGTTTTAAGGGAATCCATGATGAAATGACACAGCAGTCAGCACTGATGAGAGAGATCTTGGCGCGCCTACCTCCACCTCCAGCTGATGGTACTGCAGGTTCTAGCTTCCCATCGCAGCTCCCATATTGATCAGGGGAGTATCGTTTGCCTCATTTGTACTCATTTTCCTTAAATTCTGCCATCTAAACTTTAATTTTCGCATTGAGGACAATGTCTTTTATAAGTTCGGAGGATGGTGGCATAATTTGAAAAAGACATTCAGCATGTAATTAATTGCATTTCCACAATCCATATTTAATTTGACTAATTGTTGCATAATGCATGCTTGTGAGTGAATATTGATTATGCTTATATGTATGCTTGTGTGAGCTTAATCGCCTTGCCGGCTATGATGTTACTATTGGATTAGTATATTTCAAAACTTTGGAGTCGGTGTTAATTAGGCCAACTAATACTTGTTGATGTAATACTTGACATTCTTTATGCACGTCATTCATGCTTTACATGTTAGGTAAGTGATTGGGGTTTTGAGCATAAAGTAGGAAAATAATTATAACCCTCTATTGAATTAACCCGTAAACTACCTTAAGACAGTTTTGGTGATAGTTGAGCTATTAAAAGAGAACACTGAGATAAGTGAGGCTCAGTGCATGAATTATTGTGTGAATTGCCTAAGCCAGTGGGATGAAGAGTAGGTGAAAATTTTAAATTAAGGGTTGGTTTTGGATATCAGATGTCTAGAAAAAATAAGGGCATAAACTTAATTTGTGAGAATAAGACACTTCTTTTCGTGCCTTTATGACTCGAGCAAGTAAGCCTGTAAGGATATTTCAAAATCTAATGCCCTAAGGTCAATTGATCTGGGAGTCACCGGCCCAAAACTCGATACATGGGTCATATAGAAAGCAAGAGGTAAAGAGCTTAATAAAAAGTCATCTGATTGAGCCTTTATAACTCGAGTGAATAAGCCTGCAAGGGTTTAAAACCTGGTGCCCTAAAGCCAACTGGTTTGGGAGTCACTGGCTAAAGCTCGTTACATGGGTTATATAGAAAGCAAATGAGAAGATAATAAAAAAAAATTAGAAAACCAGAGAAAAGTGAGAAAAACAAAAAGAGACAATAACAAGAAGAAAAACCCTTGGACATTTGGTGGAAGAAACTATACCTTTGAAGCGAGGCAAGTAACCTAGTTTAATCTTGAGTGTCGAAGCAATCAAAACTAGGAAAGCCTTCACTTGTGGACATGTGAACTTGTGATAGTGAGATTAATCCAAACTACGAGAGGGTGAGAACTATAGCTAGGTAAACTCATAATTTTTAAACACAACCCCAGGATAATTGAGTGAAAAGAATAAGTTTGGGGGGTTGTGTATCTCTCGAGTGAGTTAGGAGACATTTGACCACTTGGGGTCGGGACTCAAACTCATCATGAACTTGATATGTTAGCATGAATCCACACACACACGTCAAGTATGCACTTAACAGGTAAAGGTTGATGTCATTTTGCACTGATAAATTTTCATATAATCAATTACTTAGTCCAATCCTGAGCCAAGGCAAGGTGTTAAGCCATGTTTGTTCAGAACTATATCACTATCTTGTTTGAGGACAAACAATAGTTCAAGTTTGGGGGGTTTGATAAGTGCTCCTACGAAATCGATGATGATGATGATGACAACCTCCCCTTCTCCAGAGAAATTCAAAGCTTTCCGATGCATGCAAACTTCAGGTCTCCTAAAATCC